ACGCTAAAATTCCAGTTTACATGTAGGAAATAAATTTCGGCTTGGCTCGGTTGAGCGACTGACAATTATGGCATTTCGTCTTGCACAGTTTGCTCACCACGGCATCTTCAAGCAGGTCAGGTAGTCTAAAATTGGATCGTGTGACCAATGGTGTATTTTCTGATTGATTGAGTGATATATTGTTTTCGAATCATCTATTGCTGGTAATAGGATGGTCGTTCTGAAGAAATAGCTCATCCTAAAAAGACAACTATCCATCTAAATCTGTTGTCTCTTAACAACAAAAGTTTTATTGACCATTTTCGTCGTATATACTCGCCAGAAACGAAAATCAAAGACATATCTTGATGGCAACTTGTCTTTAAATAACAAGAAACTTATTGACCACGTCAATCGTACATATCCACCAGATTTGGGAATCAAAGACACGTAAACTCTGCTACATCAGCCGGTTAACTAGATCTTTTTCTACAACGAAATCATCAAATTCCCTCTTGTGAATTTTCCATTTCTGGATAGCAATATTCCCGCATATCCAGCCTGTTGTATTTACATGTCGCAGCCAATTCGGTTTCCATCACCATGACTTTCTTGTAAAAAGTCGTCATCTGAGGGGTAATTCGTAACACGGGGTTTCAGAAGATGCAGGTTGATGAAAAAAATTGGGGTAGGTGTGGGGATATCTACGGTCGTCATAGTGTTTCATTTTAGAATTATACTATTTCTTCGGGCGATATGAAGCCTGTCATGTTTGATGTTCGTTATCTCGTCTATCACTTCCGTTGTGGTATATTGTGTTCTCATTTTGAGAACGTGACATTAGTTAGTTGGATTCGTCAATAACGCAGAAGGCTCTTATTCCTGGTATTTTTCAATCGTCTACGTAATCTTTTATTTGTTTGTATTTTGGTCTAGTATTATCGAATTTGAGTTTGGTTTATACTTATGTTGACAGGTAGGTATTTTCTTGTTTTATTATGACACTCTATACTGTAGCAAAGGAATTAATGGTGTCTGAATTTTAAAGAACCCCAAAGAACTCTTGATCAGTCGTGGACAACCTCTTCTAAAAACTTTCCTCTAAATGAACACATGATTTTTCCACGCTGTACCCTACCCTACTCCATTCCAAAGTAAAGGACCGTCTGAAGGACAAGCTGACGATAAAGCTACATTGTATTTCATACTAACTGTACCATGATACAACAATGGCCACAGTAATCTAATATAAGTCCCAACAGAAATGACCACCAATCGAATTTAGATCACGTGAGTAAATCGTTCGCGTGAACTCGTATACGCAATGCCCACTTGTTTCTTGGCAGACCAGATCAACTGTGACAGTGTTGGTTTTGTCAGACCATCGAACTGCTGTCAACGATATGATTGCGGCTATTGTGTTCAATATCACAGGACATCGACTTTCACATTTATCTGACATGTATAGTAAAATTGAATGGTGAATCGCACCAATGTTATGCACAATGTGCGTACGATAGGAACACTGGGACAACATAAACTATAGAACGTATTGGTTTCGATGTAGGAAAAGACCGAGCTAAGTAGCTGATGTGGAATAGTTATTGTATCCTTGTATTTCGGTTCTGGCTGGTATACGAATAATGTTCTCAGTAAATTTCTAGATATTTAAGCACAAGACGTCATCAATTTATCTGAAACTAAAATTGAAAAAAAGGTTTTATAGCCTGCTTTGATAAGATCTCCGTTTTTAGAGCGCTTTAGAATTTTTTATAATCCCATTACTATTAATTTCACCTCTGGAGTAAACTGTGTCGCAATAAGACTCTTACTCAGAGTTGCTAATGCTAAGTTTGATGGCAAATAGTTAGGACAAATGTTTGTTTGAAGAGCTAGAGAAGACACCAATAAAAGAAACTGTTAAAAATAGAGTTTCTTGTGAGGTTTAGGAATCTAATATAAACGGAGGAGGTCCGTATCCTTTTCATTAATCGGCAATTTAACTGATTGTCTGCGTGCAAGGATCAAGTACATGTAATTGGAGGCCTTATTTGCAGGCACAATAACATACCTGTCATGGAAATGTGGGTTAAGCATCCGGATCGAGGAACATTGATCTGTGTTTTGTTTTCTATTTTGATATTGGAAGCTTCTAATTCTTTTAAGAATAATGGACCGAATGGATCTAATCGATGCGAAAGTGAACCACACTCATCATGGTCTAATTTCATCCATTTTCTGGCGTAGTTTTCAACGGAATCCGCAATCTTGAAATTCATATTATAACTAACGATTTCACGATATTTCGAACCCTCCATAAAAAGCTCTCGTTGATTAACATTTTGGATAATGGCAAAATTTTGACCATCGTTATAAGTAAATGCAGAAGTAAAACAAGGTGACATAGGAGTAGTTCTTAGGTCATCTACATTAAATTGTTTTTAATGCAATGGGCTCGGGATAACTGTAGGACATTACTTTGCTTTGAAAGCAGGGTGGAGCCTTAGCTTGTTTCCAATGTCACCAGAAGCAGTATTAGTTGAAGCCACTTTTTGTAGAACGTAGAAAGGATGCGAATATAACGTATTTAGAACACAGTGGACACCAAAATCAGGTTCAGTCAGGGTGGTAAACTACTAATGGTATTCAGAGTAAGGCTTTTAGATCGCACAAAACACACAAATCTAAGGTGTTGTTATAATTCTTGAGCATGATATTACCTACTTGAATTGACCAAGAAATGTATGACAGGTGTTGCCGATGAAACAAATTACGCTTACTCCTCAGGGACACCAGGTCCCAAATGCTAAAAGCTTAGTGGTTACAGTTAATTCATTAATTATGAAGTATGAATTTAACAGAATTGGGAACATTTTTGCTCTTGAAGGTCATGTTTTTCCAGTGTCAAAAATTTAGCGTTTTCATAAGCCGCATTTTCCCTCTAACCAAGCTTTACACAACCGATGCCTGGTATAATTTTGTTTCTGCTTTTTCATGAGTCTCTTTCTTTTGTTAATATTTTGCCCTCGTTATTGAGTTTAAATTGACAAATACATTTGCTTTATTGATTTTCTGTATATTTATAATAATATATATTATTTCTTACCTACTTTAATTAAAGTTTTCATGAATAATCTGTCATGTCTCTATCATAACATTAATTTCTAATAAGCATACCATCTGCAATAAAACAGTTTGTTTTTACAATTTCTTATTAGTACGAATAATTCCGCACATCTTTACGATTCTATAATTAAATCAGAAGACCCGTGGCTAAAACATCACAGGACAGCAGCATAGTTTGAGAAATATTTTTATTTTCACCTTACACAGTTCAATTTAATCCAAAACAAAAACAAAAGCATTGTTGCTAACGACGAATGATCATGGTCTTTATAAAGCATAATGCTATGCATCGAATATTGATAGGGACAACATCTTTTTTAGCACATTGACTGTGTGATAAAGTACTGAGGTAAGAAAAAGGGAAGGGATATTTGCAGTATGCTTCCAACATATTCAGCATCCAAATACCAAAACATCATCAAAAGGCACAGAATAGTCACTCATGATTTTTTGCATAACGACGAAACAACACACCACGCAAAAGGATTGTCTTTTGAGCCCAACATGTTCCAATCTCAAAGACTAAAGTTGCGTTCCGCCATCATTGATGACGTATGAATTTGATTACGCCATCTTGTAAAAATACCTTATTGACCTTTTGACGTTTCTCCGAAAAGTAACAGGAAAGAAAACTATGAAGTAAGGGAGGACCGAGTCAACGACATGTTTTACCTTAAAATATTCGATCAATGATCAATGAACTATGAAATAGTCATACCCGACCTGTTGATCTGAAATTAATTTTTATAAACAAGTATATTCATATTGTATCGTCTATAGTGAACTGATGGAATGAATTGATTTTTGCTATAAATAGTAAACACTGTTTTCAGAACGTCTTCTGAACGCACTGGAGCAACAGACATAAAGTCACTACCTCATCAACATGAATACTTTCAATGGCCTGTCCCACATTGTTTGTACTGATTCTTCACCCGTGCAACGGTGGGATTGTAATCATAGATACAGGAATTCACACTTGCACAACGCTACAGCAACGAATGCTAAACAATCACCAATGACACGATAAAACTTACATTTAAAGACGATATTGTTTTACACCAAATCAGTCGACTTGTGGGCAGTGCTGGCTAGAATTCTGTCGCTAAACCAAGACCGCCACGATAAAACTTACATTTAAAGACGATATTGTTTTACACCAAATCAGTCGACCTCTGGGCAGTGCTGGCTAGAATTCTGTCGCTAAACCAAGACCGACACGATAAAACTTACATCTAAAGACGAGATTGTTTTTACTCCAAATCAATCGACTTCTGGACAATACATGTTAGGGTTTGGTCAAAGCATACGCTATATTTTCCATCCTCACGTTCTGTCGAGATTCCATCTACAATCTACCATTCATTTTTATCGACATTGCAGTTGGCGAAAGTGAGGTAGAACTGAACTTCTCCCTTGTTCACATTTCATCAAGGTTGCCGCTGGCGAGAGAGGTCGAAACATACCAAACATTTCCTGTGCTCAATTTGATCGAGATTGCCGCTGGCTAGTGTGAGCCGAATCATACCAAACATCTCCTGTGCTCAATTTGATTGAGATTGCCGCTTGCGAGTGTGAGCCGAACCATATCAAACATCTCCTGTGCTCAATTTGATTGAGATTGCTGGTGAGAGAGGCCGAAACATACTAGACATCTGCTTTGCTCATTTTTATCGAGATTGCCGCTGGCGAGAGTGAGGCTGAATCATATCAAACATCTCCTGAGCTCAATTTGTTTGAGATTGCCGCTGACTAGTGTGAGCCGAATCATATCAAACATCTCCTGTGCTCAATTTGATCGAGATTGACGCTGATGAGAGTTAGGCTGAACCAAATGTTACACCTCCCATTTACTGAGACTGTTTGTTTGCGATTAGATTTAACATTGTTTATGTTCATGTATTTAGAGAGACCACTTCCATGTTATCTATGACAGTACATGTGTTATGCTTTCTACTGGTGACAGAGATCTGTAAGTCTACCTCGTTATTGTTGTCAGGTACCCGAGTACAAGATAATTTACATAACTTTATCCTCATTCTACAAATGTCCGAAAGAAACTCTCTCCTCAAAATGATATAGATCCATGGATTAAGGATTTGATTAATGGTTGCTAGACGAACCGTCAACAGATCTACCCAGTCAGGCCCGGCACTCCTTTGGGTCTGTTTTATCAACACCACAATCTGAAAATATATATAACACACTTAGATCAAATACCACAATCTGAAAATATATATAACACACTTAGATCAAATACTGCTAGGTATGTTCGGAACAAAATATATCTACAAACACATAAAAATGTAGCATTCTCTTTTATGTTGCACATTACCGAATATTTTGTAAAAAATAAAATTAGCATTGACATGTAGACTTCCATCCAGTACTGGAGTACACAGCATTTTGCGATGTGTTTTTTCATCTACACGCAACCGGTTATTATTTTCTAAAGTTAAAAACAAACCTCGTTCTATAAAAAACTGAAAGATGACGATTAGTCAGATACCTTCTGAAAAAAAACCATGAAGAATAGTTTTACATGTTAGCCCATTCGAACAAATAAAACAACTGCAGCTGAAAGAGCAAACGTGTAAAGCATGGCATAGTATGTAGGAATCTACCTTAAATTGTACACCGTGGTACAATATAAACCTACAGAAAAATCAAATCGAGGTAATATGTAGTCGAGACGTTCGCCATGGTTGAAGTCATATGACTAGGAAATCCATTGTATAATGGGGTCAAACTTTAGGGCACCTTTGAAATGGCATCATACTGGAATGCCTAAACCACGACACGGTAACATTGCAAGCCATCCAGTCACGCTATACAGACAATAGTCTGACCAAATATCACTATTGGAAGATTTCAGTTGAATGACAAACTACGAATAGCAAAAGGCAGTTTCATAGATTTAATTAGATTAGAAATAAGATTACTAATCTTCTTTGCTGACGATGTTAAGTCACCGAATAAAAAGGGAGAAAATGATTTCATAGTTCTTGTTCAGTTACACGCTTCCTACAATTATGCATTAGGGCAGATTTCCTAACTTGTAGGGTAGTAGTTTTTCTACTTTTCATGATAGTCATTGTGTTTATCACTTCAGAAAATGGTGTACTTTCGATGTTGAATTATGATATCAGAAACGTTATACAGGGGTGATTATTCCATCTTGTTACCAGTAATAACAAAAGAAACATCCAAATCCAAAATTCGATGAAACTATTGGGAAAGATTAACAGAGAGATTTACAAGAAGTTCACTGTAAAAGAGATAAGCATCTTCTGTTTAATGACGTAACTGGCCGTGTACATATACAATTTTTTAAAAAAATTCAAGTAAATAATGTCATGTTTCCAAATGATTACTAGGTAAACAACAACAAAATTACCAAGCAAATTAGATGGCCTCAAACACATCCAACTTCACATTACGCAAAGAAATTGAATTTTTTCCATTTCATTAGAACGCCCATAATCTTCCCCAATCTCTTGAAACTCTAGGAGTCCTCAATAAAGGGTATATTTTTTGTTGGGCATTACTTAAATCTTCAGATACACAAAGCATTTACATTACGTCAAAAGCCATTATTACTGCACTGGAGCCATGTGTTTAGATAGGTAGGAGACTGGTATCACTTGCGTAATATTGAAAAGGGATTTGAAATACACACCATCATTAAACTTATAAAATACATTAAAAATAAAAAAAAAACAGATTTTAAATTAAAAGTGCAATGGATGTATCCTAGGTGTACATGCATTTTAATCTGGTATTGCAAGTTTAGATATGACAAATCCAGCTCTTTGGTCCATGGTGTGAGTTCACATGTTATCTGGTGTGTGTTAAAATAACTATGCAGTTTGGGATTTCATTGCCTAAAGGAAATAATTGCCAACTTAATACACGTGAAAAAGTTAATCTATTGCTTTCAGACAATAATGATAATAAGATATTGACTCCTGTACTAGGTTCTCTAGTTGTTCTTGTTTCACAGGTTACATACATTTAAACATCGTTAAGAAATAACATATTTTGAATTAGCAAAGCACAAAGACATACGCGGAGGAAAATATCTCCATTGTATAGTGCAATTGATCATTTGATCCTTGAAGTATTTATTGCTAGGGAATAACTTAAAACCCCTAGACTAATCTGATTAATTACATCTGAATATAAAGATCCTTTCAAATTAGATATTGATCGAGCGACTGGAATAACATTGTTAATGTGCATGAAACTTAATCATTATGGTGAGTAAGAGTGTGTAGGTAAGTGAACATTTCAGACAATAAGATGGTTGTCATGATGATGATGATGATGATGATGATGATGATGATATAAGGGCCTAGTGTAAATGAAACAAGAATTTGTGAATGACTTTCTTTATCAGTACCAGGTAAAATTTTGAAAAATAAAAAAAAACTATGAAAAAAAACAACTTTATCATTATCTGTATGATAAAAGACATTATGATAAAGTCTGGATATACAAATGAATGATACTGTAACCGTGTATATGTACCAAATTTTTACCCAAGCTTGTTATTTATATATAACTTTAATTAAATCTATAGCATGCCTTTATGTATCAGTATTCTAGGGTCGGGTTAAAAAATCGGCTTTGTTCTTGAAAACGATGTTCTGCGATTGATTATCGATAAACTTTTCAAAACAATTCGATATAGTGTTTATCGCACAATTTTTACTGATTCCCTGCATTGTACTAACAACGTGCACACGCAAACACACACACGCACACACACACACGCACACACACACACGCACGCACGCACACACACTCACACGCACGCACGCACGCACACATGTTCCTGTGTTACCATCCAAAATTAAAGGAAAATTTAAGAGAAAAAATGACAATCCTATTTATCGGATTTTTTTACCGAGTTTTTCAATCCACGACAAAGAAGTTTAAATCAACATCTCACGGAAATGAAATACTCTGCCAATATTTCCATTGTAATGTCACGATATCATGTTTGTGTTTATCCTTTGTTTCGGCGAGCACACCTCTAGTAGTAAGATGTACGACCTATATCAATTTCCGGACGTTTCTGACATTATTATATTAAATCTAAAAATCTGAAAGTAAAAAAAAAAAAAAAAGAGAAAAAATATTGGGTCGTATCGTTTTACTTTATATGCATATTGACAGAACTGATGTCTGTTATTCCATTCAGCACACACAATTTTTTTCGCTTTAATCACCAGACAGCTTACAGGAAATTGTGGCTGTTACATCTATCATACATTTATCTAAGAGTTGTTGCCATGGATAATCCATATATTTCCCCATTAATGAAAATCTATATTTACCATTGGACTGAATGCACTGTAATCTGGGTGTATTCATCGTTAAGTAAACATTAAGTAAGCACCTGTGATATTCATTGATCAGCTGGTATTGACATATGTACGGATAAACAGCCTACACGATGTGGACTTTAAACAAACTACTGGGTAATGTACCGTATATTCAACGCTCTGGGACTGTTTGCTTATAAACTTTGTTGTATAATGGATGATGTAGCTGGCACCCGTATGTACTACCCGACGTTACTATTGTTGCCTCGTCTGGTGCACTCTATTGTACCACTGACTCTATCGATACAAAATGTTTGTCAACACACATCAACATCCATATCTATTTTAAAAAGTCAAATGAACAGTAGGGATGACACAGTTAAATATCTAAATAGTTATTTTATTGTAGACCTCCAGTGATGACGACAATCTATGTCCTTGTATGAAAAGAGACACACCGTGGAGGAGAACGTCCTTTTAATCTGACCTAATAACGTAGATTTATATATTTTTTCGTATTATAACATAAAATATTTGTGATATATTTTTTTATTTAAACTGTGTTATTAATGATGAGAGTTTGAATGTATGTCAGCCTCGATCTGAGTGATTTCAGGACTCCGTGTGATGTTTGCTAATAGACTGATCCCCGAGGAATGATGGATTGTGGGTATAGATTCTGGTGGCATGAGGAATAGACAGGAGAGCGTAGAGTTCAAAATTTCTACTGGGAATCGCAAAATAATCTCCACTGATTCTAACACAGAATAATTTTATCTCGGCCGCTGGTTAAATTTCCACAGGAAAATACAACATATTAAGCTATAATGTTGATTAATACAAATGAAGTCTTGTACACTTGTCTATCAGAATTTTACGTCAATTAATATGAAACATTGCTACATTTCACATCATTTCTGTCTCAGGATCAACTGTATATTTTCTTTCGTCAAATCCATGATTTTCTTACAAAATATATATATAAAAACTATGTTTTATTCTAAAACTGACACTTCCATTATCAGAACACACCTGCCGCATATATTTTTACTGTATTCGGCAGTGACGGAAACCAATTGTATTTTAGCACGTGCGTTAATTCGACGGAATTGATTTCTTAATATTTACTTCAAAATTACGTTTAACAATATAAGCAACCGGTGAAATAAAACGATTTTATAAGTTGTAATGAACAAGTTTTTTCACCAAAATTAATAAAATCGCCGCCATATCCGTTGAAGTTTGGAACTTATTTCATCTTATTAATTATTTTGGCGTGCGTCATAAAGCAAACTTCAGCGCTACACCAGCGTCAGGTAAACAAAGATTGAACAATAATACTGTTGATGTTTTGGTGATCTGACTTTCAATCCATGTTGCGGGAGAAACAGAATACATAACCAGTGTCTTAAAAATATGTTGTGTTTTGGTTCGGGACAGGCTAAAGTGACTCAACAGAGGCTCGTCCCTTCTGTCTTTCTTCACTTTCACCACAAAATAGATTATATTTTAAGACACTGACTATGTATTCTTTATGTAAAACTAACCCCCCCTACATATCACTTCGTCACTCACTCTCATGTATATATGGACGTGAATGTTCGGTTATTGTAACGTTAAGTTACTTAACGGCAAAGAAATGACACAACTACCTCCATCAAAATTAGAAATCAGTTATCCTGAGCACTTGATCAAGTGCTATTTGAAGTCAGATGAAGACATTGTGCGTTGTGCACGACCACGGTCTGATGTAAGGTGGATTCTACAGCGTTAATATGTGCACATTTCTATTAGGATTGTCCTTAATGAATACCATCAGTTGTACATTCTCAGTAAACTGTTGGTTATGTTGTTACTTTCAGAACATTCTTACACATGTCGTTTCCTTCTTACAGGGTATTCAAATAAACACATAGTGGGCGTTGTCGGAATTCATGTACCTAGTAACACACGTCATTGCGTAATCGATATGTTGTAGGTAAAACAGATCAGAATGCTACAGATAGACCGCAAAGATCATTATCTACGTAAAACCAATAAAATGTTATGCGATTAAATGAAATCGATCATATTTTATGAAATATATACATATCTGTATCAATAATCTGTTTAATGTACAGTTCTGAAACAACTGTGGTGTCATCCATGTTTTCCGAACTGGTTTTACATTTCTCGTCATTGATGTTCACTGACCCGTCACTATATCCTTTGTCACGTCATTGATGTTCACTGACCAGTCAGTATAACCTCTGTCTTGTCATTGATGTTTACTAACCCGTGACTATTACCTCTAAAGTGTCATTGATGTTCACTGACCCATCCCTACAACCTCGGTCATGTCATTGATTTTCACTGACCCGTCACTATAACCACTGTCATGTAGTAGATGTTAACTGACCCGTGACTATAACCTCTGTCATGTCATTGATGTTCACTGACCTGTCACTATAACCTCTGTCATGTCATTGATGTTTACTGACCCGTGACTATAGCCTCTGTCAGGCGATTGATGTTCACTGACCCGTGACTATAACCTCTGTCATGTCATTGATGTTTACTGACCCGTCACTATAACCTCTAATGTGTCATTGATGTTCACTGACCCGTGACAATAACATCTGTCATGTCACTGATTTTCACAGACTTGTCACTATAACCCACTGTCATGTCATAGATGTTTACTGACCCGTGACTATAACCTCTAAAGTGTTATTGATGTTAACTGACCCGTCACTATAACGTCTGTTTTGTCATTGATGTTTACTGACCCGTCAGTATAACCTCTGTCTTGTCATTGATGTTTACTGACCCGTCAGTATAACCTCTGTCTTGTCATTGATGTTTACTGACCCGTCAGTATAACCTCTGTCTTGTCATTGATGTTTATTGACCCGTGACTATTACCTCTAAAGTGTCATTGATGTTCACTGACCCATCCCTACAACCTCGGTCATGTCATTGATGTTCACTGACCCGTCACTATAACGTCTGTCTTGTCATTGATGTTTACTGACCCGTCACTATAACCTCTGTTATGTCATTGATGTTCACTGACCCGTCCCTACACCCTCGGTCATGTTTTGTGAACCGTCGACACTACAACCTCTGTCATGTCACTGGTATTTACTTAACTATCATTTCAGCCTAACTCTTGTCATTGCTATTGTCTTAACCTTCATTTTGCCACCATTGTTTCCGTGAAGTCATTACCTCTATTGTATCAGCACCGTTTGTCTTACACTCGATACCAAACAACTACCACAGGGTTTGGGTAAATGATGCCAAATATCGTAGCCAAGGCATATTGAAAATGTTTGTGTCATAAATCACTAGCTGTATGCTATTATGTCTATTCTGTGACGTAGGCGGTTCATTCTACAATTCTATTAACAAACCAATTAAATGTTTGGATTAGCCACGAGAGAGCCATCGCGTGTACATTACGCCATCTATCAGATCGATCATACAAACTTAGAAAAAAACAGTGGTTAGTGAAAATTTTCAAATATGAATTTAAAAAAAATGTAATCAATCTGCATATATTTGCACTTAGATTTTTAGACAAGTCAGATCTATATTTTCTGAGCATTCTTGTATTTTCATTGACAACCATTAACATTTTTCACAAACTACTCGTTACCTCAAATTAAGCTTTAAACAAATGGAGTCAGGTGTACAATAACAATGTTTGTAAAAGACCTATACGGCCTATACGGTTAACGTTTGATAAAGGTTGGAAATGTAGGATGTAAGGTAACGTTTGATAAAGGTTGGAAATGTAGACTGTAAGGTTAACGTTTGATAAAGGTTGGAAATGTAGACTGTAAGGTTACGTTTGATAAAGGTTGGAAATGTAGGCTGTAAGGTTACGTTTGATAAAGGTTGGAAATGTAGGCTGTAAGGTTACGTTTGATAAAGGTTGGAAATGTAGGCTGTAAGGTTACGTTTGATAAAGGTTGGGAATGTAGCCTATAAGGTTACGTTTGATAAAGGTTGGAAATGTAGGCTGTAAGGTTACGTTTGATAAAGGTTGGGAATGTAGGATGTAAGGTTACGTTTGATAAAGGTTGGAAATGTAGGCTGTAAGGTAACGTTTGATAAAGGTTGGGAATGTAGGATGTAAGGTTACGTTTGATAAAGGTTGGAAATGTAGGCTGTAAGGTTACGTTTGATAAAGGTTGGAAATGTAGGCTGTAAGGTTAACGTTTGATAAAGGTTGGAAATGTAGACTGTAAGGTTAACGTTTGATTAAGGTTGGAAATGTAGGCTGTAAGGTAACGTTTGATAAAGGTTGGGAATGTAGGATGTAAGGTTACGTTTGATAAAGGTTGGGAATGTAGCCTATAAGGTTACGTTTGATAAAGGTTGGAAATGTAGGCTGTAAGGTTAACGTTTGATAAAGGTTGGAAATGTAGACTGTAAGGTTAACGTTTGATTAAGGTTGGGAATGTAGGCGATAAGGTTACGTTTGATAAAGGTTGGGAATGTAGGCGATAAGGTTACGTTTGATAAAGGTTGGGAATGTAGGATGTAAGGTTACGTTTGATAAAGGTTGGGAATGTAGGATGTAAGGTTACGTTTGATAAAGGTTGGGAATGTAGGATGTAAGGTTACGTTTAATAAAGGTTGGGAATGTAGGCGATAAGGTTACGTTTGATAAAGGTTGGGAATGTAGGATGTAAGGTTACGTTTGATAAAGGTTGGAAATGTAGGCGATAAGGTTACGTTTGATAAAGGTTGGGAATGTAGGATGTAAGGTTACGTTTAATAAAGGTTGGGAATGGAGGATGTAAGGTTACGTTTGATAAAGGTTGGGAATGTAGGATGTAAGGTTAACGTTTGATAAAGGTTGGAAATGTAGACTGAAAGGTTACGTTTGATAAAGGTTGGGAATGTAGGATGTAAGGTTACGTTTGATAAAGGTTGGGAATGTAGGATGTAAGGTTACGTTTGATAAAGGTTGGAAATGCAGACTGAAAGGTTACGTTTGATAAAGGTTGGGAATGTAGGATGTAAGGTTACGTTTGATAAAGGTTGGGAATGTAGCCTATAAGGTTACGTTTGATAAAGGTTGGAAATGTAGGATGTAAGGTTAACGTTTGATAAAGGTTGGGAATGTAGGATGTAAGGTTACGTTTAATAAAGGTTGGGAATGTAGCCTATAAGGTTACGTTTGATAAAGGTTGGAAATGTAGCCTATAAGGTTACGTTTGATAAAGGTTGGAAATGTAGGCTGTAAGGTAACGTTTGATAAAGGTTGGAAATGTAGGCTGTAAGGTAACGTTTGATAAAGGTTGGGAATGTAGACTGTAAGGTTACGTTTGATAAAGGTTGGAAATGTAGGCTGTAAGGTTACGTTTGATAAAGGTTGGAAATGTAGGCTGTAAGGTAACGTTTGATAAAGGTTGGAAATGTAGGATGTAAGGTTAACGTTTGATAAAGGTTGGATGTAGCCTATAAGGTTAACGTTTGATAAAGGTTGGAAATGTAGCCTTTAAGGTGAATGTTTGATAAAGGTTAGAAATGTAGGTTTTAAGGTTAACGTTTGACAGACGTTAAAAATATCGGGTATAACGTTTACGTTTAGTAGTTTAATAGTAAGTTTGGAATAACGTCTGTTTTTGAAAGTGTGTCATATAATGTTTAGATGCAATACAAACACATTACAACATTGCACTCGATATAATTTGCTCGTAACTGATTCTACAACATACCATCAAGGGAAGCCAGCATACTGCGAAGACCAAGGTCACCGAGACAAGAAATACCATCTGGGATACGTTACTCCGGAGACATCGTGTGTGACTCTGTTCGTGCTGTCCGTCAGATATCTTAATCACACAGCTGTACCTTCTTTTCTGCTGTTTAAGTTTAACAGAAACCAGAAGGTTCATGATCACAGCGAAAGTAATGATCCCCACACCAAGCGAGGCATACAGTATAGCGAAAACACTATCCATTATAAGTGTGCTATGGAAATTGAAGAAACACCAGGTGCCCGGGTATTGCGTGATATTATGTCCTAATCCAAATATGGGTAGACTTCCCAGGATGACAGCCAGCGACCAGATGCATAAAAGAGTAAAACCGACACGACGCCGTGTGACAGTCGTATTGTAAGAATAGGGGAACCAAACGGCCAGAAACCGATCAAACGACATACAAGTTACAATACAAATGGTTGCGAACCCTGCGAACATCATCATGAAGGCCAGATAGTCACACTCAGGTTGTCCACCGAGGAACTGTATATTATTAGAGTACACCAACATAACCACTGGAGTGGTGGCCAAAATCCCAACAAGGTCCGTTATAGCCAGGGCAAGCACGAGACAGTAAAATGTTTTCCATTTGTGTGTGCTTGCGGACCTAAAGAGAATCACAATGGCGATGATGTTTCCGAGTGTTCCGATGCTTGCTGTGATACAAGAGGGCACGGGCGAGACATCCTTTGAAAACCGCCTTAATGTTGGCACGGAGTCATTCATATCTAACTTTCCAGTGTTCAGATATCTAGTATCATAAACACCAGTGGTCACGTTATTGGGAAATAGGTCCGTAAGACTTAACGTAACTGGTGAAGTCATAATACACTTGGATGACAATTGTCGTGCCTTAAAACCAGCAGAGACGAGCGTGTGTACCGCGACTGTGTGAGTGCCAAGCCGTGTAGACGGCGTGGCAATATATAATCATCCCACAACTACTACGACTGCTGCTAAAGAGCCGATTTAAAGATTACGTTTTAATTATTGGGAGAGTAATTGAACTATATATCTTGTTTTCAGAACCGATAATCACTCTCTTTATGATGTCATTTTCAGCTTTTCATGTCACACTGTGTGTTAAATCCAATACCACTGTTGAAATAGTAATTGTGATGGTCTGGATGTAGAAATGGTTATTGTGACAGGCCCGATGTTGTCGTGTCTTTGTAAACGTTATCCAATTCGGAATAATATATACATACGCTGTTATTCACTCAGGATAGTAAATCCAAACATTATCGGATGAATACGGAACTAGATATGTTAAATACAGGTGTAAGTTAGTGGTTGTAAATCCAGGTAACCGTTTGCTGGCTGTTTATAAGACTAATACGTCTCTATTACTGCCGGCTGTTTCGTTGATACTACACAGTAACAACACTTCATGTAGATTGGTTTACCATCATGAGAATTAACTCGGCACCAAGTAAAGGTCTTGAAATACTGAGGTGGTATAACTTAAGCCCACGTACGTATGTAAGCTTTCACTTTCGTACGTACGTACTGTGTGAAAGCTCTCCGCAGGTAAGAAGAGTATGCCTAGCTCCTCCGCTCTCCTGTGAACATGTATTAGTAAGTGATGCTGCTGTAGATGAGCCGTGAACATTGATCTCTGTGTCACATGTCACCAGTCGATTTCCTGTAGCAGAACGGCTCACACAGCTGCACTCCCCTGTCCGAACCCACAGTGGACTTATATTAGCTGTTTATTCGTCCTTAAGTTAACGCATGTTTAATGAAAACAAGGAGTTAATAGTTAAAAAATGGCGAAAACAGTTCTTAAAATAGAATATTCAATGTGTCATATGGTGTAAAATAACCTTTTTGGGTTAAACGAATGCATGTATAACAACAACAACAACAACAACAACAACAACAACAACAAAAAAACAAAACAACAACAACAACAACAACAACAACAACAACAACAACAACAACAACAACAACAACAACAACAACAACAACAACATCAACATCAACAGCAACAAACTTCTGATGTACCAGAATGAATCAATATCCTTCAGATATATAAACCCTCATATTTCGGAATTAGATACATCAGTTTGGTACAGCCATGATTTTGGAAATTGTCAGGACTCATTTCCGTTCTAATGATACTCTTATACAGCAGGCTGTCTGACGGTTGATGGTTTATCTATTTCGCTCCTTATTGGTTGTTAAAATGGGATCAGACCCACAGATGGACGATATATCTGTTACTAATATGTAAAATATAAAATGCTGGTATCAGATTTATTGAAAGACGTTTGGGGGATTGGTGCAATTACGCAATAAAATACAACTACTTGTAGTAATAAAGAAGGTTCTTTTTCATACCAAACCACAGGAACATATTGTGCACAAATTTGTCAGTTGCCGACATTTGCACGAAAATCGTGGCACTAGAAACAAGCCCTTGTATGTCGAGTCAAATACGATATGTAAACACCTTAGGTTGGGGATGCACGTATTTATCATCCACTGTCGTCTCCGAAACCGTGCAAGTCCACTCAATTATGATCTTTTTAGGGCTAATCTTGTAAATTCACCAGAGTGTCAATGTGGGCACCCATGTGAAGATTCTTATCATCTTTTTTTTAATTGTCCTTTATATGCTGATCAACGTAGAGCACTATACCAAGAATTAATATAGTATGACGGTATTGTTAATGTAAATATTCTTTGCAATGGTGACTCTAATATCTCTGTGGATGATAACCTTAAAATGGCCAAATCGGTCCAAACATTCCTAGGAAGGTCAGGAAGATTCACTTAAATTCTCTCTCCTCTCTTCCATTCTACATCCCTCTTTCTATCTCTCTTTCCCTATGCCACACCCTGTTCTTATCTCTCTGTCTCTTTCTTTATTTTTTGTCCACTTATACATTTTACATAAAAATGACTATTATAATAGTTTCATGTCACCACGTGATCATATTTATGTAAATGTTTATGTGTATGTTGTAGGAGAAGTCATTTATAAGTTGGTAAAACTTACTGACTAATCCTATTGTCAATGTCATTGTCAATAAAATATGTTCAAACTAAAAAAAAAAAACGTATGTTACTATCAAGAAGCCGAAAATGAACAATAATAAAGCTTGGTAAAAATATGTCCATGTCGCTTTCGTTGTAGGGAAAGATCGAGGTAAGCAGATGAAGGGGAAAAGTGTTGTGTCCTTGATTTGGGAAACTCAAATGTTTTTGTATAAGCAATGAGGACTTTGAAGATTTGTCAAAATCTCTTTGGAGTTCTTCCTTTCCACAGATTATCGATTTCACTTCATGAGTAACTCTGGTTTGATAATATTAAGATTTGAAGTATGAAGGTTTGTCAAAGGTTTGGTTGAACAACTAGACGAGCCAGCAATAGAACACTGTTTGTATGAATTCTTAGGAAGCTTGGGAATCCAATATAAGCGATGGAGGTCCATATCCTCATCACCAAACGCAATATGAAATGTATATTATATAAAACTATACAATTATGTAGAATCCAAAATGAAAAGTACGTCGTGATGTCAATAACAACAAGAAGAGACGCGAGGGACGGTTTACAATTTTTGAAAGTAGTATTTGTCACGGCCATTCTCATTCCAAGCCAACGACTTCAATTAACGTCAATATTGTGGCTTTTACCTAATATTTTGTCTTTTCTTTTCCCGTTAAAAATAACGCCGGGTGAAAAGACGAAATGACAAAACAGCGAAAAGACGAAAACACGACAAGATGAAAAACCCGCCAAAGCGAAATAGATAGTACAGGCACACTGAAATGCTGTTTGATACATTGAATTTATGAATGTCCAATGATTACATGTGTATATATATCATTATACTGTTATAAAAGTTTCCAAAGTGTATTTATTAGGAGTGTATATATGCATAATGTATGTGTGTATGTATTATGTGATAATACTACTCACTTACCCACTCAAAACGTGCCCGATAATTGCAAGGGAGACAACCTGCTTCAAGAAAAATTTTATATGTAAAATTTTCGAATGTAGGATAAAACTCATTTCTATGATTTTTTGTTATAATATTTTCCTTGTGGTTTTCACAGCTGTGTGTTATGATAGTATTTTAAGCACGAATATTGAAATCTTTATGTTATATATCAATATAACCCACTTTGTAAATATTGCTTTGTATATTTTTTTCATAAAAAAAGCAGATATTTTTTTTCATTTTATTTTTTTTATATGATTTGCAAGAACCTTACAATGAGAAATATAACAGTTTTTAGACATTTTCACCAAAAGTTTAACAAGTTATTGGAATGCTAAGATTTTCAGGAAAAAAAACATATTCAAGTGCTACATACATGTATTGCATAATCATTATGTAAACGTTTCAAGAAAATCTAGAGACTAATTATTAAATGGTCGAGCCTCCTTAATCGTTTACAAAGGTCACCTCTATAAGTCATCTCTAGGGATCGGCAGCCACAAGGAAGACCGGATGTTGAACTTTTAATTATTAATTAACCTATTAACTCTTAATACTGCTACCAAAATGTAGTGCTAATCGACGCTGAGACCTAGACTTTCCAGTCGGGTTCATCCTTAAAGACCTTTCCCACTGGGGCTTAATGATAAAGCTGATTGATAACAGCATTTCTTGATTTCTGCATTGTAAGTTCTGAGAATTTAAAGAACAGATGTCAGTTGGTTGGATCTGATATAAAATTCAAGCTAGATGGAAATCTTTTGGTGATTTCCCGTCAATACAGACAGACTTTCATGCTTGAATGATTGTGTGAATTTCTTCTGTTTTTATTACAAATTACTGCAAAAAGCGACATTTTTCACTTATCTGCAGGAAATTGCTGAAAAAAAATAAAGAAACAAAAGTAAAATATCATTAGTTTCTTTTTTCTGGTGAAACACAGTGTAATTTATATATCATGTGTAGTGATTTGTGAGTATATAAATGTGGTTTTTGTACCTTTCGTCACAGGTAATTATGAATAAGTGCAAATGTTTTGTGTAATATATGTATGTATTGTCTTAATTCTTTCCGTCAATGAAAATAAAAACATATCAAATTACTTTTAATGAAAACTTTCCCAGGCCAATTTACAAGAAATATGTTTATAAAAGGCAAGCATATTTTGTTTATCATTAAAATACCCTGTTTTGAGAGTAATAACATCTAATACATGCATTATTATAAAGTTATTACACACGTGGAATATGACCTAACTGGGGATGAGTTTTTCGTGGCGTGATAAGTTGCCAAGAAATGGATATGTTGTAAGATTATCGCAATTTTAGATTTTTATCCATCTGATAAAATGTTGAACTTAGATGATAAAAACATCCAAGCTTCGCTTCATTTACACCACGAATGACATTCTTTATGTTATAACTTACGGAAAGCTGAAAGATATCAAAAAGGTGTTCGTTTTGTGAGGGCCTTTACGTTAGGAAACCATGTATATCAGTGGTTAAATCCAGCACTCGTCAGCCATATCCTAAAAATCCATTCTGTAATCTATATCTAAAGACTTATCTAGACGGTATAATAAGATATTTAAAACAAAGTGTTATGAGGATGAAAAATACCATTAGTGACATTTCAAAAGGAAAAGTATATATTCACACAGACCGTATATGGCTGAAGCAAACTGACATATTTCCTCATCATATCTGTCTTGTTGTTTCTATACACCTGCTCAAGATACCTTGAGGTCAACCACTCCTCAATGAAGCTTACGCAGGGTGTTATCTCTGACATTTCCGTCCTGCACTGTCGTGTAAATGTTCATAAATTAAAAGGAATTACGCAACTAAAACCAGCCAATGAGCGAGAGGG